CAGATTCCGAGGAATGGCTGGTTTGTCGCTTCCCCAGCAGTCTGGGAGGCACTTTGGATGGTCAAGGAAGTGACTTCCTCCGAGGGCTTTTTCCCTTGGCCTGTGCTGTGGCCACTGTGTAGCTGGCAGAGTTGCCCAGGGCTCCGTGCGGGCTCTTGGCAAGCAGCCTGTGCCAAAGCGTGGCCCCACCACCACCTCAAGACAAACAGAGGGTTTCCTTGGAGCCTCTCGCCCTTACACCGTTGCTAACCTGGGGTTTACCCGCTTCAGAGCCAACTCTCTAAGAACCATTTCCAACCGGGACGACAACCACCCCAAAGCAGCAATCCACATCTGGCAGCCCGAGCCCGGATTATGGGGTACTGGATAAGGATCACAGATAACCAGCCTCACCCCTGGAGATTTCGTTACCTGTGCAGCCCCGCTTTGCATTTGCTGTGGCTAAACAAAGAGCGCTTTGATGGGTGGCGATGTGCTGCTGACGGGAACCTACTGGCCACCACCACCAGCACAAGCGCTGTGCAGTGGTATTCTGGGCTGGCTGCTGATTTAAGACCTAGAGCTTGCTGCTTACTATATCTGGAACCGAGTGGAGCCAGCACTTGGCATGAGCGTGCCTTGCGCTGCATGCCTGCACCCGCTGCTGTGAGCGGGGAGAGCAAAGCTTCCCCAGCCCTCACAACTCAGGGTGTCGGTGCAAATAGGTCAGCTCCCGGTTTAGGAAACAGCCCCTTTTTATGTCACAGAGGTCCCGTTTGCAGCCTCCTGGGTAGAGCTAATGCCTGTTTGTTTCTTTACTAGCCACAGGACCATACAAATGTCTCAGTGGGTTACTTGCCTTCTGTCAGCTGCAGTAGCCTCAGATGGAAAGCTGAATTCTTGGGTTTGTTATTTTATATGCTTTAGGTTAAGAGTGGAAACCGAGGTTGTGCCTTCACAGATCCCTGTACCAGGAACTACCCATTTCCCCTCCCTGCAGGGACTCTTGCTGTCACCTGGAGGCCTTAAGATCTGAACTAGCCGGTTTTTGTCTTTGCAGCTCCCTGGCAATTGGAACTACAACTGGATACAGGCTTTTCTCCTTAAGTTCTGTGGAGCAGCTGGACCAGGTCCATGAAAGCAGTAAGTCTCCTGTTTCACTGCAGTAGAATATTGGCTGACAAACTTTACCTGTATTACTGCACTCTGGTCTGCCTCAAGGGATGATTTTGCTCACTGCTGCTGCAGAGAGGGCATCTGTTTCTGCTGTACCCCTATCAGGAGAGGAACAGCTCTGGTTCTTGCCCTGTGCACAGCAGCCTTTAGAGTGAGCCACAGCCTTGGAGAAGCTTCTGAACAGCCAGTAGTACTTTAACAAAGTTGAAGGGCTCCCACAAGTTCAGAGTCTAGTTTCTTTTTCACTGCCATCAGCCTGACAGGAGCAGTTTGTCCTGCAAACCAGCATTTGGAGGTAGTTTACCACTAGCATGTTTCAGATACACAGACAGGAGACCACAGACACCCAGCACAGATGCTGGATAACTTGCAGGCTTTTAGTCCAACATGGTATTTACAAGGAAGATGTTTTGAACAGGTTTCCCATGTAAGAAGGTCATTTACAGCAGGCTTTCAGCTATTAGCTGTGCTCAGAGCAGCATGCAATGCACTTAACAGCCTGAAACAAGTCAGGCCTCATGGAACATGCACTCTAGTCCAGTTCAGGCTGTGGCCAGAAGTGTTTCAGCTGAGATGCGCTACAGACATCTCACAGCTGGGATGTACTAGGCTCTCTCCACTGGCTATAGAAGGAACTCCAGCAAACAGATGTAGCTGCATCATCTGGAGCAAAGTGCAGGCTCCTTTCCTCTTTGCCTCACAGCAGCAGGCCATAGACTTAGATCAAAAAGTATTTAGGAGTTTGGATTGCACCTAGAGTCAGGCCAAAGAGAAGCAGATCCCTGCTGGTGACACACTCCACAGACAAGGTGATGGCCTGAAACACAAGCAGCCCTTGTACCTCCAACACAGCAAAGCCTAAGCACTGAGGACATTCAGGGCTGCCTGCACAAGAAGCCCTAGTCACTGATGATTTAGGTACAGGTCCACCAGGACCACTGTAATGGTGCCTTCTCAGGACAGCAAGAGCCATCCCAAACATGGTCTCTGCAAGACATACCACACCACTGTTCACTACAGCCATGCTAGAGCTCTCAAGAGACCACAACCCCAGTGACAGAGGGAGTGTTAAAAAGTCAGCCTAAATGTCCCTGAGGAAGCTAGGAGAAATCAGACACCATGCAGAATAAACAGTAGGTTACACACAGCTCATTCCTTACCTCAGTAAATCCTAGTTTGCTCACACCCTCCAGAAAAGTCCCCAGCCAGGTTGGGTGAGCTCCTCTTTTGTATAGCCCTTTCCCAAAGATTAGCTTCAGCTGGAGGGCCCTGCCCAAGAGAGGCCCAACAGCCCAGTCAAAGGGGGCTGGCTTAAGTTCTGCCTTTGGGGGAGGTTCATTAACCCCTTCCTGCTCTGACCTAAATGTGCCAGGTAGAAGAAATTTTCAACAAAAGCACCTTAGCGCAGAGTGTTCCAACTCTTGAGTTGAGTCTTGTTGCTGCAATCAAACCAACCGTAAGCCAAGCTAAAGACCCTGCCTTGGTTTCCTTCTGTGCCCAGATGAAATCCCAGATGTTTACATCGTGGAGCGTCTGTTCTCCAGCAGCCTTGTGGTTGTGGTCAGTCATGCCAAGCCACAGCAAATGAATGTCTACCACTTCAAGAAAGGGACAGAGATCTGCAACTATAGCTATTCCAGTAAAATACTGTCCATCCGGCTGAATCGGCAGGTAAGAGGTTGGGGAAGGGGTTAGCCAGAGTTGTCCCTCTCTGGCTCTCTGCTGGTGTTGACGGTGCCTGGGGAGGTGTGCACAGAGGCTGTGGAGTGGGACAGGAGGGGTGGGTACCTGTCCTCTCCGAGCAGCTCCGCTTCAGGCTCCTCTGACAGAGGAACAAGATGGCTGGGGGTATCATCTGCCCTGACTGTTTGCCTCAGTAGAACAAAGCTAAGTCCTTGTTTTCATAGCAGTTACACAAAGGCTTTTTGTTGTCCGCCTTCTTGCCTATTCAGCATGTAGCCCTGCCAAAAAAACACCTTTTCATCTTCCTCCCTCCCTTGGATTCCACATCCTGACTTCAGGCCCACTTCTGCCATCTTGGTTGCAAATGAGACCTTCGAAATTGGTAACCAAACCCAGGAGTAACTTGAACTCTGTGGATGAGGTGAAAGGCTGCTTCTCGAATATTGCTATCAGCCTTGTTTTATTTTTAAAGGTATAGAAAGCATTCAGGCCACTTAGAAGAAAGCTTTTAGAGTGTTATTCCCTGAACTGATACAGCCTCATGCAGCCCTGAGCCCTTTTGGAGGATTTTAAGTCATCTTTTCTTTTTGTTCATAACTATTTTCAAAGTATATGCCATAAGAAGCAGAGGAAATTTTACAATGAAGAAATAAGCAGTCTGTGTAATTGTATATAATCAGCCTCTCCTCAGTTAGCAACAGTGAGCAGTGAGTCCTGCAGTAAGGCTCTCCCATAAGGAAACTCTGGGTTGAGCTTCCAGTAAAGCTGTGTTTGACCAGAAGTTCCTGTACTACAATTAAATCTGTCCTAAATTGATTTTTTTCACTTAAACTTACAATGAAGCTGACAAAATAAGGACTTCCTTTGAATTGCAGATAGATGTATGTGTATAAAAATAAACTGGGAGGTTCTGCTTAGCAACTCTAGGAGATTAGTGTGAGAATAAAAGAAGTTCAGGCTTTTCCCTATGTGCTGCTCTGGAGATTGCCTGAAGATGACGCATAGACCCAGCCTTGCATCAGGGTTCCTTGGCTGCTTTGTGAGCTTATGCTCAAATCCTGGGCTGAACTCATCCTCTAGCCGTAACAGACACATCTGGAGAGATTTGAAGATGCTACAGATACTTGGGTAGACAGAAGGAAAATCACTGTTTCGGTCTATGTTCAAGATTTAAACGGGTGGCTGTTGGGTTCTGCCTGTGCTGTGACATGTGAACCCCTTGCCTGGGCTTCTGTATAAAAACTACTTCGTTAAAAGTCCACAGAAGGCCAAATCCCATACGAGGCATTAACGCAGGAAAATGGCGGCAAATAAACCCGGAACAGGACTCAAACAGATGGTGCATGTTTCATTTTGATCTCTCTGTGAAAAGTCCTCCTTGTGCAAACAAGCAAGTCCCTCGGTGGTTGTTGATCCATGGGAATTCTTTGTTCCAGGCTCCATCTTAACTCTGAGTTAAGGTGGATTGTGATTTCTCTCAAAGCAGGGAATAAGGCCATGCTGTGGGACTGCTGAAGTGCTCCAGAACCTCCCTGGGTTTTCATTCACTGCTGAAACCCTGCGGAGCTCTCTGGAGAGGTTTCATACATTTTGCTGGCTGTATCCATACCCACCACATTTAAGCCCTCAACACACAATTCCGTTATCTAATTTGATTCATGACAAACTGAAGTACTAGAGAAAAATACCAGTGAGCAGTAACATTTTGTACAAGCCACAGTGCCTTGAACCCAGTTCAACAGTCCCAGCACCGGGCACCTTCTCTGAGGCTCTGTCTGTGTGCAGAGTGAGGATTAAACCCATTCCCCACCTCAGCAGGGCTTGTGCTGACGTTAGTGTGGGCTACAGGGCTGCGTGGAGGGCAGGAGGCAGAGAACCAGCCCTCTCCAACTCGTGGTGAAATTCTCCCGGCCTCCTTCGCCTGTTCAGCTCCCACCCCCATCGCTTTCCTGGATTTTTGTCCCTGTCAGTGCCAGCATCTCGCTGAGCTCTGGCTGCTGCTTTGCCATCCTCTGGCAGCCTCCCTTCACCTGTACAGCAATAGCAGCGTGTTTTGCAGTTCTGGGAAAGCACGTGGTGGCTTTGCCGAAGTCAGCTGTATAAATATTACTCTTGACGGTCTCTGCTAGCAAGTTGATGGCTGTTACTGTAGAAAAGGCAAAGTCTTCCTGGAAATGCAAAATGGCTCTGACACAGCCCCAGATGCTGTGGTTAGCAGGAATAGAAGTGGGAAAGAGTTTGATCCGAGAGCAATGGTGGAACAAGGCAAAGATTTTTCTAATGTGGGTGTTTCAAGTCAGTGACTAAGCTCCACATTTAGATACTAAATAAGTGGCCTCATTTCTAAAGAGGTGGAGGCTTCCTGTACATGGATTCGGGTGCTCCAGCTTCAGGAGCCTGAATGGAGTCTGGCCTTAACGTTTTTATTGAGAGGTTTTCAGCACTTCTGGACACTTGGCACTAACGTAGGTGGAGCTGTGCGCTCACTGGATTTAGAATGCACAACCCTTCAGGCAGATCCAAAGCCTGGGCCCAAAAAAAGCCTCTATGCAAAATGTCTCCCTGGTAACACGTAGAGATCTGGACCAAGCTGAGACATAAAGCTGAGCGGTCACTGAGATGGTGGCCCAGTGCTCAGGTTACAGCATTAGGCTTCCTTTCTCCTTCCTGCCTTCCCTCCCCATCGCTTGGCAGCTCCTCTCTTGGCTGGGTGGGTGGCTGTTCCTGACGAGTGCAGCAGGTACAAGCACATGAACTTGGAAATACCCATCTGCCAAGATGGTGTAAGTGTGACTGTCCCTGAACAACTGTTTTCCAGCCCAGTTTTTATGCAGTTCTGCAGGGGTGCATAAGGCAGAGTCTTGCCTGCTGGTCCCAAGTGGGAAAAGAAACATTAATTTGCTGAACAGATGCATTAGGTTTAGCAGCAGTGGGAGACCCAGCACCTAAATGATCGCTCTCATATCAGGAAAAAGTCAGGGCAAGGGGTACATAGTCCCATCTGTAGGCATCCTGACAAGCAGGATCTTATGATCAAAAAGTAATTTGCTATGTAAAGAACTGCAAAGAAAAGTTGGGGTAGGTAGATGTCAATCAAGGCCCATGGCAGGTATAACCCTGATGGGTCTTCCTGTTCCTGGGGTCTGGGGCTGTGGAAGATCAGCTCTTAGCAGAGAAGTCATGAAGTCTTACCTGCTTTCTGAAGCAAGACCAGAAGCAGGCAGCTCTCAAAAGCAGAGACATACAAAATCAAAGGTTGTCCAGTGAGAGGGGATGGAGGAATGTTCTGACAGTGACGGTTTGGGTGTGAGAGCTGTGGGAGCAGCAGACAGAGGCACTGTGCCCATGCTGGTGAGGTTCTGTGCATGTCCCTTGTGTCCTTGCAGAGGCTGGTTGTTTGCCTGGAGGAGTCAATTTACATCCATAACATTAAGGACATGAAGCTTTTGAAGACTATTATGGATACACCTCCAAATACAACAGGTAAACATGGGAGAACTGTGTGAAAGGGAGAGATCTGCAGGAGCTCTGCAGAGCCACAACACTCGTGTGAGAATTTAAACCAGCTTGTGGCTTGTGTATCCCAATTCGAGAACTGTCAGTGTTAGGTTAATGGTTGGACTTGATGATCTTCAAGGTCTTTTCCAACCTTGATGATTCTGTGATTCTGTAATTCAGCACTGGGGAGCCAAGAATGTGTGGAGGCAGGCAGGCTTGGGAGAGCAGAAACCCTGCTCAGTCCTGAGCAAACCCCTGCTCTGTCCTTTGCAAATATGTCAAAGGAGAGCAGAAATGGTCAGCGTGGTTTGACTTCACCTCCCAGGTCCGGTCCCTTCCCGTTCCCCCACGAGATGTGCGTGCAGCTCACAGCTTCCCGCAGTGTGCCTTTATTCTCTTTCACAAGCGGAAAGCTCTAGGGGCAGGCCAGGGCCACAGGTTTTCCTCCACACATACGACAACCTGAAATTCTCCCTCCGGGGCTCCCTGCCTTGCCTTCACCGTGCCCTGCATCAGAGTCCCATGGCATTGTTGCTCTCCGGATAAAGGAACCCCGTGAGTCAGTTCTGTGGTGTCACGCCGTGCTGCAGAGCTCCGTGCTCCCTGCAGACCTGCAGTTAACCCAGGTTCTCCTTTGCCCATGGACGACTGCTCCAAGGTAGAAAGCTCCTGTGATTACTTACAGGCTTGGGGTCAGTTCTCAAAGTGATTAGCTCTGTGAAGATCACCCGGGGCAGAAAATGCAGCCAGGCAACAGCGCTAATCCCTGCCAGGGAGTTCTCAGGAGCCTGGGTTGCCACCTGATATTATTCCATATACGCTGCAAACCCCACAGGCAGGGCAGGTGGCTGCAGAGCAGATCCTCTCCGTGCAGCGTAGGTGAATCCAGCTTTCCTTGTCATGGGAGAGGAGCTATTTTTAGCCATGGAGAGGAAAACTTGGCGGAGCGCCTGCAGCGGCGCTGCCGTGTGTTGCTGTGATATCCCGGTCGGTCGCAGGCTGCAGCATCATTTCACGGGTGGTTGATTGGGAAGTTGCTGATGTGCTTACGCCTGGGTTCTGGGCTTTCAAGGGATGCTCTTCTGGTGGCTCCCCTGACCTACTTCAGGTCTCAACAGATGGCTTCTCCATGTGGATTAAACATACTAAATACTGCAAATATAATTAAAGTTTAAAACCCTCCCAAAGAAGCCCAGCAGCGGCAGGAAGGGCAGGGATACCCAGGCCCGAAGCTGTTCTGCGGTGGGGCTGAATGATCAGGTCATGGTTTAAGAGCAACAGCAGTCAGCACCCGCCAGGCCAGGACTGGGCTGCTGCAGGTCACAGAACTTCATACAGGCTTAATGTTTTAAAACCCTTTTACGGCAGCAGCTGTCATTGAAACGAGCTGAGTGACAAGTGCTGTGCCACGCATGCTCCCTTTTGTCCCTGGACCATCTGCTTTGGTCCCAAGCTTGACCCCAGGATGGCATGTCCAGGAGGCCGAGGCAGTCCAGCCTCACCACACAACCCGTTTTGGAGTGGGGATCTGTGCTGGGGGGCTGTAGGAGCATACGGCAAGTGTACCACCCCCCCCAAAAAAAAGTGTGTGCCCTGGGCACAGTAACACCAGCACGGTGAGGACCGGGATTCGCTGCTCACCCCAGCCAGTCGCAGTTTCCTGGTCAGGACCCACCTCCCAGTCCAGCCTCTTCCACGCAGGAGAGGAAAATGCCCACAGTGGGCCAGCCTCTTGTTTTTCATGTGTGCTCAAGCATGTTGGTTTTCACGTGGCTCATGTCAGGGGCAGGATTTGTGCCGAGGAAGTCACCGTGCTCACTCGTGACATGTGTGCCACCAGGGCACATCTCAGAGACAACTGCAGCTTTGGAAACCACCTCACGTGGCTCCCTCCAAGCCCCACATGCGCCTGGATCTGCTGGTTTGGGGGCAAGGCCAGGCTTCTCGGACACGGTAGCCTTTTTCCATGCTGCTCAAGGAAGCCACCTGCCATGTGGCATTCCCAGAGCTGCCACCCTGAGCAGCACCAGCCTGCCTCCTCCCTCCTGAGCCTGCCACTGCATGCACCAACCCTCCTCAGGGCTGTGGGGCTGCCGAGAGCAGAGGAGCATCTTCAAAGGCTGCCCGTGTCCCTTGTGATCCTTGTTCTTTGTGTGTCCCTGAGGTCAGCCCAGTACACTCACATCTGTGTTTTCCCCTGGCCTGGTTTCCCGTCCGGCTCTCCCAGCCAGGCGCGGAGCAGAGGGAGCGGGTGACTCACCAGCTCAGAGCTTGCTTTGTTTAGCTCCAGCGTTCTCTAGATCCTCCTCTTGGAGAAAGGGCTGTGCTGATCCCCCCGTGCTGCCCAAGCCGGGGGAAGACCATCCTGAAAAGACAGGATGCTTATCACGAGCGAAGTCTCTGGGCTGTCTTTGCCCTCCTGCTATCCCTCCCTCTTTGGGTGCCTTTTAATTGCCTGCACTTTGCTGGTGCTGTGCCTCTTCTTCCCGGTGCGTGCGGTCCCTGGCATGATGTAAATGCCTCTGATTGATAGGGAGTGCATCCCTGGGGCCCCTGGCTGATCCTGCAGCTCCTGGCTCCACTGCGGTCTCTTTGTTTAGTTATAAACAATGACCTAAAATGAGAGCTTCGGCCGATCCTTCCCCGCTGCTGGGCCTGGGCCAGGGCCATGTCCTGACACAACGGGTTGCACGGCATGTGGCCGCGTGTCCGTGCATATACGTGCAGCATGCGGGCGTCCTGTTTGGGGAGTGTGGCAGCATCCCCCGCAGCCTTTAACCCCACGGCTTCCTCCACACGTGGGATTAGGTGGGACCCCCGGGTGGGGGCCAGGAAGCTCAGGTCATGCTGAAGCCTTGAGTCGGATTTGAGAGGACTGTGAGCACACGGACGTGGTGCAGGAAGCAAGTTGATGTGACAGGATTCACTGGGATGGGTCCTCAGCCAGCAGCAGAAACGAGAGGCAGGAAGAGATGCTCTTTTCTGAGGTCACCTGGGGGACAGGCAGATGGATGTACCCACACATCCATCCATCCATCCATCCATCCGTCCCTGTCTCATCCTGTAATTCCTGCTCACTTTGAAAGGGGTGTTGGGGAACCTTTATGCTCATGTTGGCATAAAACCAGATGGCTGTTAAAGGGAAGAATATCCTCTGTGGTTAAAATTTAGCTAGGTTCAAGTTCCTTGTCAGCCAGAAACTCCCTGCACAACTGTGGCATTTGCTTTGTCTCTCTCTGCTTCCCTTTTCCGTTCAGAGAAAAAGGAAATGGTGCTGCTCAGCCCCACAGCTGCTGCCTTGCCGTGCCAGCCTTCACGTGCCAGGCTTCGTATGGGGGCTGCGGCCCTGCTTCGCTGCTCCTCTGAGCTTCTGCCCTGGCACCTACACCCTGCACACATCTGGAGGTGCCCAGATGTGCCTGGGCACGAGTCCTGTTAGCCCTGAGATCAGGATGTCCCTTGCTGTGCTTCATGCGCCTATTCCTGTCTTCTCAAAGGAGATGATTAAGGGGGAGAAGCCAAGAGTGTGTCAAATTCTGAGCAGGGTTTGAGGAGGGGCCAAGGGAGCTGTACTGTCCCCCACGGCCGAGGTGTGGCCAGCTCACCCGGGGCCGGAATCTGCCCCAAGATGAGGCACAGCCCCAACCCCCTGCCATGTCCATGGCCACGTTTCTGCTTTCCGTCCTCCACCAGCAAACAACCTCCTCAGCTGCGTCCTTCTCGCCTTGCCAGGTCTGTGTGCTCTCTCAATCAACCACGCCAACTCCTACTTGGCTTATCCCGGCAGCGCGACCAGCGGAGAGATCGCGCTTTACGACGGAAATACTTTGGTAAGTGCGAAGCTCGCCCATTTGGATACCGGCAGGGACTGAAAACAAACAGAACCACAGCAAAGCCAACCCAACAGGGCCTTTGGGAAGGATAAATAAATACACTCCACCGAGCTAGACTGCAAGGGAATTGCTCGGAGAGGCACATTCCCCATCCCCCTTGCTTGGATGTCATGCGAAGCAGACAGACTCTTTGAGATCAGCACATCCATCTCCTGGTACAGGATATTAAGGGAAATGTGACCTGTTACCCTGTGGCCTGAGGGCTGCTGCCAGGCTGACAGAGGGGTTCCTATAGGGGGTTCAGCAGTGTATCCCATGGGAGTGGTGTGACTGGGGTGGCTCAGAGAGGGTTGGGGTGGCTCCAGGCGCAAGAGCAGGACCTGGAGCAGCTGCTTTGCCACGCTGCAGGCTGGAAGGGATGCCAGACTCGAAGTCACAGAGAGGGCGAGGTGTCCAAAGCCCCCTCAGGAAATCTGTCCCTGGCTGAAAGCAGGGTCATGATTATCTGCTGTTTATGCCAGGGCTTTGGATTACATAAGGCTGTCTCTCTGTACGTGCAGCGGGAGCTGAGGATCTGCAGCAGGGGAGGAGCAGAGCACAAGGGGAAAACACGCTGCTGCTGTGAGAGGTACTAGCGAGGGCCTGGGCTCCCTGCAGGCATCAGGGTGGTGTTGCTGCAGCAGGATTTGCAGGGAGGCTCCGGCTGGGTCTCTGCACAGAGAAATGCCAGGCTGTGGAACGGGCGCAGCTGCGATCCCACAGCCTGGAGAGGTGGGGAGCTGAGGACCTCTGCCCCTGAAATGAGCTTTCTGCAATCACAGTGGCTGTAGTAAGCAGGGAGGGAGCTCAAGGCAGGGCAGAGATAAGTGCTGAGGATGTTGAAGGGGTACCCTAAGTGCGATACGACCCTGTGAATCCGTACTGACTCGCCTGGATAGGGTATGAGGTGGGGAACACCCTGCCCTTACACAGTCCGAGGAGCAGCGTGTCCCTGTGCTCACGTTCCCTTCTGCCCTACAGAAAACAGCCTGCACGATCCCTGCCCACGACGGGCCTCTGGCTGCTCTCACCTTCAACTCCACCGGCTCGAAGCTGGCAAGTGCTTCTGAAAAAGTGAGTGAGCGCTGCTGCGAGCACCCTCCCTGCTGCCTGTGGTCCCTGCCCGCGGCCGGCAGCGGGCGCCCAGCCAGTTCTGGGGCATCAGCTGCCTGGAGTGTGGAGAGCAGGACCTCTGAGCTGCCCGTTCCTAAGCACGGCCAGCAGGAGTGGCACTTAAAGGACTCTTGACTTGGAGGAGGCCAGTGTATCGGGTTCAGATTGACTCCAGCTGGCAAACAGGAGGGGCCTTTGCACATCCTGGGTTTCCTGGGTGTGTCAGAGAAAGGGTTTATGCTCTTTGCCCTGCTCCTGCGTGATCTTTCCATTTGCATTTTTTGCAGGGCACAGTCATTCGTGTATTTTCCATTCCTGGGGGGCAAAAGCTCTATGAATTCCGGCGAGGGATGAAAAGGTCAGTTCATTCTTCTGTCGGTGACAAGTACACAGAGGGCTCCCGGAGCAGAAATGTAAACAGAGGGACAGGGCAACGTCAGATCCTGGTGGCTTTGGCATCTTTTGCAGAAAGAAAACAAGAGCAAACGTATCAGATAGAAATGTCATTGCGCCAGACAGCCACGCTGTGCCCAGCTGCCTCCGGCAAGTTTAGTGATTCAATTCAGTGTGTCGCAAAACAGGGCAATGGCAGAGAACAGAGGTATATTCAGTCCATTTACCCTGTCCTTTCTTGTTTCTTACTTGAAATAATGAAGTCCCCAAAGCTACCAGCCCAACTCTTGCCTGACCAAAGGAGGTGCTTTGAAGCTACGAAGTCATTTGCGCAGAGCCCAAGTCTCGATGGCAGCAATGGGCTGTTGCTGCCCTTCTGCAGGCTCCCGCAGATGTTTTCAGTAGACCCATTCCTCACTTTTCCCTCTTCCCCATCCCTGGCCTGTCTGTGATTTTACACACGCTTCAGCAAGTGCAAAAGCTGCCGTGACTGAGACACCCTGGCCCTGCTGAACCTGTGTGGGAGGAGTTGCTGTATGTATCCCACTATCCAGTGGCTTTGGTTATCCTCCCCGGCCTTTGCAGTACAAGAAGATTTAGCTGCTGTAGCGAGGCCGGCACAGATGTTCACTCCACAGGCAGCTTTGCAAGCAAGGACATTCCCACCTCTCTGGCTGTTTGTCACTAGCTCGAGGCTCCCTCCAGCTCTGCTGAGCAAAGGGAAATGCTAGTCAGTCAGCCGGCAGGCTCAGCAGCAGCCAGGCAGGGTGCTCCTCACCACGTATGGGTCCCGTCCTCTTCTCTCTGAGCAAAACCGAGTGGTTCCCCCTGAGCAGTACGCCGTGAAGTGACCAGTGCTGTCCTTGCTTGGCCCTAGGTATGTGAACATCAGCTCTCTGGTGTTCAGCATGGATTCCCAGTTCCTTTGTGCTTCCAGCAACACAGAGACCGTGCACATCTTTAAACTGGAGCATCTCACTGACAGGTGAGGGGGTTAGCCTAGGTTAATCTGCCTGCCCCAGGGGTGGCTCAGCTTCAAAGGTCTGCCTTTACACAGCTGGCCTCCATTTCCTCACCACGTACTCTCTGTGAGCAATACCAGCTGCAAACTGTCTCTTTGGCTTTGTGTCCTGAGGGACTCACTCCTTGGAAAAGCTACAAACTGCATCCCTGCTGTCTGCCTCTCCAGGCCTGCTCTGGGTTTATTAGCTGCCACTGTCCCCTGCCTCAGAATCACAGAATCATCTTGGTTAGAAAAGCCCTTGAAGATCATCTAGTCCAGCCATTAACCTCACCCTGACCATTCCCAAATCCCCCAGATCCCTCAGCGCTGGCTCAGCCCGACTCTTCAACCCCTCCAGGGATGGGGACTCCCCCTCTGCCCTGGGTAGCCCATTCCAACACCCAGCAACCCCCTCTGCAAAGAAATCCTTCCTCAGAGCCATCCTGACCCTGCCCTGGCCTCCTTCCCGTGTATCCAGCTAGGCTGGCACGCACCGTGTGCAGGTGCTCCAAAGAAAGCCTTCATGTACCTCAGATCAGGATCATTTTGTCAGTCCCTGCTCTGTTTTGTCATGCTGATTGCCGCAACCCCACTGATGCTGCTTTGTGACCCCCCTCAGCCGGCCAGAAGAGCCTCCAACCTGGAGCGGTTACATGGGAAAGATGTTCCAGGCTGCTACCAACTACCTCCCTGCTCAGGTATCGGGCATGATGAACCAGGATCGAGCCTTTGCCACTGTCCGCCTGAACATCTCCGGACAAAGGAACATCTGTGCCCTCTCCACGTATGTATCTGCATCCCTTCTGCCACGCCAGGCTGTGAGCAGACACAACTATCTCTGCAGAACACCTCTCTCTGTGGCCCCTATCTCGTAGCCGTGCAGCAGGGGTGTGTGCTGTGCCTGGGTGGGAGTGCAGGTGTGGTTGGACTCATGATGCTTTTTCTCATCAGGATTCAGAAGCTGCCTCGACTGTTGGTGACCACGTCAGATGGACATCTCTGTATCTATAACTTGGACCCGCAAGATGGAGGGGAGTGTGTCTTAATTAAGAAACACAGGTAACCGTACCCACATCTGATCTTTAAAAAATTAAGGGATATTTCACCTGAAAGCACGAAACGGAGCTGTAGGAGCAAGAATGTTAGAACTGACTTTGTGATTTTGGCTGCCTGATCTGACGGATGTGGGTGGGGACCGTGTCAGCAGGCAGGGCCGTGGGGCTCCTCGCAGCAGAAACCAGAGACACCTCAGATCCCTCAGCAGCTGCGGGGCACCTGAGCTGAGCCAGCAGAGGCGGGCAGGCTGTGCCTTGGGAGATGCCTCCGGTGGCAGGGGGGGCACAGCACCTTCCCCAGGCGCGAGCGGGTGCAGGAGAGCTGACTTTGGGGGGAGGATGGTGTGGAGCCACGCTGGGAGCTTCCGTAAACAAACCCGGCATGCAGTGCCAAAGCAGCGTCCTCCGTGCTGCTGCTCCGTTTGTATGCAAATTTGATTAAGCACATACAGCCCCTCCTCCACCCCCCCCCCCCCC